GACTTCTACAGATAAGCAGCCCTACTTAAACGCAGGCAGCTTGTTAATTGGAATCCGAATAACGACTTCAGTCTCAACTGACGTTTCATCCATTCCGTGCATTGAGAAACAGGTTTATAACATAATACTCACACTTTTCGTGCATGAAAAAACAAGTGAGAAAATCTGGTTTATTTCTATACTATTGGTTATCTGTAAACATAACTTTGGCTCAAGGGACTACTCCTCCTAAGTTAGCCAGACTAACATAAATTCAGACAATGACAAATTAAGTTAACAATGTTGTTTTCATTCCGTGAATCACCGGCTGGAATAGCTATAGGTACCGGTGACAGCGCACCATCAAAGTACGCACCGAACAGAGGGGGTCACATGAAACTGCAAAATTGGTAATGGGTTTCAGCAGGATGCCAACATCCATATACTTACCAGACAAGAATTCGATAGGGTCCAGCTCCAAATTACCAACGCATTTTTGAGGCGCTCATTTATGTTAATTCATTCAGTCAACTGGGACAAAGATGCATACCCATATATATATATATATATATATATATATATATATATATATATGGTATTGCTGATGACGATAGCCCACAACGTAAACTGGACCACGAGTTGCTAAAAGTGATTTTTCCCCTGGAGCATGGAACCTTGCTAATAAGTCGAAGAGACTTACAATTTACTGGTTTCCTATTTGAGGTTACGTAATCTGATAACTTTGTACTAATTGGATGCGAAATTTGTTTTCCAGCGATCTGATGGAAAAAAACCTGTTGGTTTTATCTATGCATTTGCTGAAAGCTCTGTGTACCCGTTGGTAAAAGTAGGGAAAGCATTCAGACAATACTTTTTCTGTGCACGCACGTTATCTTGCTTCAGTAATGCGACATCATCAACCTGATTGGGCTATCATGGGTAATATAATCGGGCTTGTGGGAGGTGATTTACCCATTCTGATAGAACAAATAATATGTAAATAAATACTTTAACTACAAATCAACTTGTTTGACCAAACGATAGCTCACAAGCTGGTGACACGCCAAAAGTTTGCACCTACTAAACTGAAGGTCTTCTGAGAAGTAGAACTGCGTAATTGTTTTGTTGGTTTGGGTAATCTTTTTAGCCGAACAAAACGGAAAGGCTGGCGTCCGCAGGTCATACGTCTGGACTAGCTCCTGAATCTTTCCGCCTGCATAAAAATGTGGCACATACTAATGCTCAAAAAGACTTTGTCCTGCCAGTTAAATAGGTTTCATAGGTTTCTGATGGACGTATGGGTGATGGTCATCAGCATGTCAATATTGAACGGTTGCCATGAGAAATTCCTCGAAAACCATATCCAACCGGATGAAATAAGTGATATCATCTCACAGAGCACAGCAACAAAGGCATAGTGTTGCACATCAGAAGTAATATTTCTACAACAATGACTACAAATTACCTAACCTCCCCAAATCAAAGCATTCTGTAGGTTAGCGAAGTCGCCACCGTCGGCCGAAATCATGGACTTTCATTGCTTCCTGGAATTTAAGCCCACTATTAAGGATGCTTAGCCTATTCAAACCAGTTCCCGTTGGACTCTGTAATTTGTCTGTTTTCCTGACCCAAAGTTTTAGCTAGGAAACGACTACAGACATGCAAGCCCCACTGACTGGTTCTACTTGTTTCCCTTCAACACACGCTCAACATTGTACATTCTGTGGACTCACCCGCTGACATTTTTGCGGCTTGAGGAACACACATTTCTTCAACTATGTCCTCACCGCAAATTCCCCTTTGGACACACACCAACTTAGAGGGCTGATTGCTTTTACTACTGATCGTTTTGCTTTAAACCGAGCCCGATTTAAATGCTCAGCAGGTTGTGTAACTGGCTGGACCTCAATTGACTGTCGCCGTCATTTGATCTCGTTTGACACTCGGTTTTAGTTTGAGTACAGAGCTATTGTGCATTTTGTGGTAGATATCGTCGAGCACCTTAACGCACTTCTGGCCTTGAATTCGGATTTGATCCGGGCGTCTTACGCGTTTCTTGAATCCACCGCCGATTTATCTGTAGCACATACTCTGTCGATACCAGTTGGAGTTGTTTGTGCCGATTTGTGCATAACTACGGATTCAGTAGCAAAAGCAGAACGGTTAATATATCAGTTTCCCGAATGTAATCGGTTGTGCCATTTTGAGTTTAAATGCAGACTCTCAGTGAGCAATTTTGGCTCAAGTACTACCTTCAAGTAGGCCGCTGACCTCTTGGTTTAGTAGGCAAATTGAGCTCAACTGAGCTTTCAAAGTCTCGCCGTGCCATATTTGTTACCGTCTATGTTTTCTCGAGTCTTTTGAGATTAATCGGACTGAAGGAATGCTTTGCATTCAAGACAACTATCAGTTGGTCTTTGCTTACTTTGAACATAGGGTCGAAACTATCATTTCTAATATAGTCTGTTTGTTAACACCCCAAATCATCTGCGAGAAACGTTTACCAGTACGGAGAAGACGACATAAAAAGTTTGCTTCCGCCAAACTCCTCCCCATTGCTTGTTCAGGTTAGGACCGACAAGTAATACTACTAGTGTATACTCTGTACGTTACAACCCAATATCAACAGATTGGTTTAGCAATACGGGGTAAGAAATACTCATCAGCGGTTGACTTTTGCTCTACTTGTGGCTCCAACTATTTATCCCTAGACCAAATACTTAAGTTTGTGTTACTTATTGTGTAAACCTCATACCTGGTCTTAGAATGCAACTGTTAGATATTCGTTAGCTTCTACCGTAGTAATTCGAATAGAGAATGACCTGATTAGAAAAGATTTGTTACTTAGTCATTCACTAGTTTTGTTCTTCGGAAAACGTTACCACCAGTCTCAGCGTTTAAGTAGAAGGTGGCAGCTAAGCAGGAAAATACCCTAGCTGACTAAAATCGCAGCTAAACTCATATATACACTGCCTTTTTAAATAAAATCGATAAGCACACTTGCATAAATAAAGCCTGTCTAATACATTAATTGTTTACGCACCTGTGATACCTTAAGGTCTTTATTTAGTCAACCGCTTCCACGCAACTGTTTTTCGGACATCAGCTTCTGTTATTGTTACTACTATTTTACTAGAGTAGTTTTATGAATTATGGATTACAAGAATTGCCACAGGTAATGCGGCCTTATGCTTTGTGAATTATTTTCTCAATATCGACAATCATGCTCGTTTGTCGGGTTGATTGAAGGATAGCTCCAAAGCATTGGCTATACCGATGCGATCCTCGAAGCCTTTACAGGTACGACGTATGTTGGTTGACAATGGAACATTAAAATTTATCTTTAAGCTGCCACAGTGGAATGTACGTGTAATATGCACTGAGTTTGAACATATGTTCATCATGCAACAGATACCTTTACGGTTAGGCTTAGAGTACTGAAGCTCTGTCATCATATTGGTATTCGCTACACCATATCCAAATTTAGTTCAGGGAAACAGCCCGATTAATTATTTTGAACTTACCATTCTGTACGTTTTGCGATATGTGAAATGTGAGTCACCGAATGTTAATAAGACGATGTCCATCCCGCATTCATAGTTACCACTGTATTTTTAAAACGACATTGAAAATAAATGTAACACTTGAGTATGCAGTATCTTAATGGGTTCAAGGTTTACCGTATTAAATAGTCGACCAACAATGAAGACTGCATTCGGTACAACCGATTGAATGACTGCAACAAGTGCATCTAACAAGATCATCACGTATATTTTTGACGAAAATCTTCCGCATTTTCCATAGTATAGTAATACATAAAATATAATGTGACAGCTGTACGCCGTAACGGCCCTTCGCTGCCAACTCGACCACCATCAGTCGCGCGCGAGCTGAGTATACCACGAGGACGCCCACGCCTGCGCGCATTCGAACCGGGGACCTTATGGTTGCAAACCAGGTGCGCAGACCACTCGGCCACCGACCTAGAGTGCATGTTGACTATAAATGGCGTTACCGTAAAATATTACAAGAATAGAAACACTATTTACATAAAAATAACTACTTTCCTTCCTTAATTCATATGATTATGAATACAAGTACTTCATTAGCAAAGGCGTTTGAGAAGGTATCACACTGATCACCATTATTGAACGGTCACCGTCTGTTTTTTCAGACTATCAATTGCTATAAGATTAGTTAAAATTTGTTTGTTGAGGTGCAGCTACTGCAATACACAGATCAATCACTACTTCTTATTGAACTCAAAGAAATAATAATATACCTTTGACCAGCCAGCCGTTCGGATTGCCACTGTGCTGCAACAAGCGTTTCGGAGACACTTAGAACTCGGTGGAAATAGCTTTGAAGCAATAACTGTTGGCATTCACTTACATTTTATGTAAACATGCAACAGATGAGATGAAATACGTTGTCTGCTGAGTATGACTAGATAATTTGAATGAAACACGGTCACACAATTGATGGAAAAGCTTTACCGTTTCCCAGAGCTGAGCAGAAAAGGAATGAAAGTTATTTTAACAGTACAAAGCACCGAAATTTCTTCTCAGTACCACTTAGCAAGCTGCCCAGTATACGGTTGTGTAATCCTCCAACTGTGATTCGTCTGATTAGAGAAAGCCTATCCAAGGTAATCTCATTATCAGCGTGACTTTGTCCACACACACACAAATGCAACAGTATGTATTTTCTTTTAATCAAAAAATGCAATCAGAAACCATCCCTTCTTTATTCAAAGCAGGTAAGCGAAGCTGCTGTTGCGCCACCTGCTTTCATCTTCGCTAAATATACTGTCCATCTAGCCGTAGATTTCCCTTACTAACCAACACCTGCCCGGGAAAGCAAACATGACGCGTGACGCTTGTCTACGTGAGGTCAGCGTGGTGTGCGTCTTAGTTTCTTCCGGCGACCTGTGCAATGCTCATGCTACCGAATTTGTAAGTAGCATGCTGAGGAAGAATAGTAAACAAGCATTTGGGTTCGTACTTTATTTTTCCGGACAGGGATATGAACATTGCTTCCAACGTGAAACCGGATGTTGCAGAGATACAACTTCAGATTAGAGTAAGTCTCGAATTCTTATTTCAGTCTCACCCCAAACTTTGGTGTTGGAAACTCTGAACCAACAGAATGGTGTCATTGTAAATCCTAACTCCGCATACAGAATAATGAAACTGGTCTTCTATTCACTTTGAAACCAACCAATGGCTAGCGAATGAATTGTGCAAAATTAATCTACACCTACTTCCAGCGAGATCAGCGAGTAGGAATGAGGTTTTCAAACACAGTTTTATACCCATTTAAATTTTTGTTATAAGAACAGAATTGCAAACAATTTGAAGTTGTTTGTTCCACAACCCATGGACTAGTCTATTCGATATGAAAGTAAACAAGCAGTGAAAAACAAGACTGTTTCTTGCACTGAAAGCTAATTACCTAAACAAACTAATCGTCATCAATAAACGAAATTTTATTATCTCTTTACTGTTGCCAATTTAGTTTCCTTACATTCTTCTCAAAAATACCAACGACATTTTGTTCAAAGAGTGGTACTTCCGTTATTCCACGGATGCAATTTATAATCTCTTACTGAATAAAACCATATCAGAGAATACCAATTAGTTTAAATTCATTGTCCAATGAGATGGCATGCTACAAGCAGTGGTACTCAGATTAGGAAATCTTATTATTAAAGCCCCTGATTTGCAGGGAGACTAGCGAACGGAGTGATAAAGTTATTCTAAAGTGTCGCACTGGTGTCCTGTGTATAGGAACTACTACTGCAACAACGTTGACGTTTCGGTTGGAAGTACTGATGAGGATGGTCTGGAAGGTGATTCAGAGAAGGCAGGCAGAGATAATGCGATGGAATTACAGAAGAATACTTTCAGTCAAAGTGCTGTGTATTCGAATTAAAAACCGTTAATGTTAACCACCTGTTAAACCCACAAAATGTGACTATAATGGCAAATGGTGTAGTTTAACTTCTATTCATATCATTGCGCTAATAAGCTGCCAATGCAGCCTCCTTTTGGCTCACTTTCAAGAGCAGATACCTTACTTTTCTATAGCCTGTTTTAGCTCATATTTAAGGTATTGGGATACATCTGTTCATTATATCCGTGGATTACCAAGATAAGCCAGGTAGACTGCTAATCGAACTCCATGTGCATTTAAGGTGACCGAAAATCACACAATCATTTCCTGTAAACTTAGTTGCGTCACTTTCAAGCACGTGTTTTAAGTCGTGATGATTGCTGAACAGGACTGGATTGTTGCGTAGAGGAGAAAGAATAGGAGGAATATTCAAAATCCTCGACGTTACATTTATTATCAACTGATGATTGTCTTTAACGACCATGTGAGCAACAGTCAGTCCCATTGCGCGAAGCGTTGCAATATGCTGGCTAGTCCATAACAGGCAAGATACACATTGCCGCTGTTATTAGGTTATAACCACTGGGTATCACAAATGGTAGAAACGAGGGAAACAACGCTGCACGACTCCAGGAGCACTTGTTATATTATGTGGATTTCTGATATATTCGTGCGGCTATATTTATTACATATCGGTCTTGAAGACAATTAACTGACTAAAGTGTGCTCCAGGTACAGTTCCTGCTTCACTATATCTTTCCACCATGAGGCGAATTTTATCCTGTCTAGTCAGCAATCCGGCTAGCTGAATAAACATTGTCCGCACTTGGTCCGAACAGTTTGCAAACCGCCTCTTCGTTTCAGTCATCCGACTCACATACAAACCTATCACCCAGGACGAGATAGAAAGGATTGAGCAGGTACAGCATGTGGCCACTAGGCTCATCTTTTGACAAAGTCATCCACACACATGCGTGACGTGCGTGCTCTTAGGTCATTTAGATCATTACTCTCAATCACTTCTCCATCTCATCGCAGTTTTGTCACTGTACGCTCATGCAAACCGGATTTACCAGCCCTACACAGTGATCCATCATGCGGGGAATTGTCCTTTAAGATTAAAGTCCGTGCCATCACTAAGCGCTTTCACGGTCATCCGTGATTAAACGCGAACGGATAACTCAATCACATTGAGCCGATCGACTTTCTGTGTGACACTATTCGATACAGAATTCTCGAGACAGACCGAAAAGCCTAAGCTTATTCCCATCCAGCGGTTCTCAACACAGCTGTGAAAGAAGTTGTGATCTCAATCTGTGTTCAGCGCTGTGTTTAGTTCCCGTTAGCAGGTTCCAGTCACTTGCCATTCCTTGTGACCTTGTCAGCCAGTTCGTCTGCATGACCCATCACACGGACCACGCGACAACGCTACCGCTCATTTGACCTTGCAACTACTACACTCGGCTGACCGATGTGTGACGCTCTCAAAGCTGGAATGGTACAGAAAGCCAAGCAACCCACCGGGTCAAGTACCGACACTATGTAGAATAGCAGAACTACGAATCGGACAACGCTCCAAACGAAAGGCATTTGCGGGTTAGGTGAATGTCACCGATTAGTTAAAGTATATTTGGTTTGCTCGCACTCTTTGGAATGGTATCATCCGAAATGTGCAAATGTGTCCCAACAACTGGTACAATAGCGAAATAGTTAACAAGCTGCGCTTTGTTTCTGTACTGCCTGCTCCACCATCCCACTCGTTAAGGGCTTGCTTATTCCAGAAGTGCTATCGGTTAATCGCAGAAGCCGAGCAGAGGATGAACGATAAGATTACTTCTATGGAAGCGAGTATGCACCAGGGAAGCGTACCGGCTTCTGAGTAACGGAATGCTGCACAAGCTGCTTTCCCTGAACCGCAATCAGCCACATCCCCATCTCCGTTGTCTTCTCCAACTTTAGTAGAACGCCGGACGACCTGACAGTATCCTGCCCACGCAATACTATGAATCATTCGTCAAACAATTTCTTGATGCTCTGGCCACTGCAGAGGATAATCAACGGTGCCCTATCTGCTGCATCGAGCAGGGTGGATAGGGTTTTGGATACTACTGATCAAGCCTTCCCGTCTTCTTATTCCCCCTCTTGAGATTTTTCACTCTTACCTTCTCGTTCCAACTTCACTTATATCCCCCCCCCAGTTTTCTACCCCCCGATGCTTGGCCCACCCCCAACATACTTTGCTGGGCATTTACCTTCTAATTTCAACTCACATGTGAACGCGGAGCGTCACTGCTCTCCTGTCGACGAGCCCATATCTAACCAAGCCGTCCATACCAGTTCATCAGCTTCCATTTGGAGCCCTCGATCCTCCTTCCGATTGGCATGCCTCAGTGTACGCAAATTACTACAGATCGGTCAACAGGCAGCACTTGCCTGAACATTGGAGACCCTCCCCATCGATATCTGCTGCTTATCAGAGACTCGCCTGCAAGACTCGAGCACTGTGCTCACTCTGCGATCCCCTTCAGGTGACGCAAGCAGTATTTTCTCATTGCGCCTATCCGGTGACGATGCAGCTTCGAGCACCGGCCAAGCTGTTGTTGGTATTGCCCTGAGTCCCCGGGCTGAAGTTGCTCTGGTTGATTGGATTCCAATCAGTAGTCGGATGTGTGCGGTCCCATTGGCTGGGTCGTTCAAAGCTTCGAAGTCACGCGGGACTAATAGATGTCTATTCATCATCGCTGCATATGCGCCCACAAACTGTAGCGATGATTCGGTAAAAGACGACTTCTACCGCCAACTGACCCAGCCCCTTCATCACAGAAGAAGCACAGACACTGTTGTGCTGGCTGGGGCTCTGAACGCACAAGTTGGAAAGTTGTCCACTGATGAAATGCATCTGGGCGGCCAACATGGTATAGGCTCCCGTAATGATAACGATGAGCGGTTACTTCATTTGTGTGAGGATGCTCGCTTATTTCTTGCGAGCACTAACTTCCGACACAGCACCCGCCGGAGGGTGACTTGGCGCCCACCAGCCTCGAACCAGCTATGGACGCAGATCGATCACATTGCTATCAGTTACTGCTGAAAAGGCTGCATCCAGAACTGTCGCTCGATTTGGAGCATATGTGTGGACACCGATCATGCACTTGTATATGCTGACATGCGGATGCGTTTTGGCGGACGCCCACAACGACGTTGTGAGCGCATTGACACCATCCAACTGACAAAGCCAGCTGTTCTGAATGCGTATCGAAGTACGCTGACATGCGAGTTGAGTAAGCACTCACTGGAGACAATTGATGGTCACTGGTCACATGTTCGCCAGACCTTACTAGCAGCAGGCAAATCATCATATGGTAAGTCTAATGGCCAACATGGATATTGGGTCTCTTTGCGGTCTCTGGAACTTATAAAGGCTCGTTGGTATATCCCGGCTGGAAAAGAACATAATGCATCACGCAACGAGCTCCGGGCAAGACTCCGTGCTAGTCTGAAGAGAGACCGCGAATCTTGGTGGTCTCATCGTGTGTCAGAGATGGAAGTGGTCACTGCCCTTGACAACCATCGTAAGTTATTTCGTCTGATACGTGAAACGGGCAGCAGGAGACCTGGTGTTATTGCAACTATACTTCACGAGAGCGGACAGCCTAGCCACAATTTGTCAAAACGTTTGGAGCGTTGGGCTGAGCATTTTGAAAAGCAATTTAATCAGCTAGAATTGTCCGATTCTTCGCCGGCCAGTGATCACCCTGCTCCGTGGGCTGTCCGTTTGGATCCACCCTCCCGCTGAGAAGTCACATGTGAGATCGGAGTGTTGAAGTTGAAAGCCGCGGGACCAGATGATCTTCCTCCAGCCCTTTTCAAATTCGGAGGCTCTTTTTTGTTGATGCTTTACATGAATTACTAGTGCAACTGTGGGAGCAGGAGACTGTCCCAACCGACTGCAGCCGCTCCGTTATTGTTCCCATCTTCAAAGCAGGCTCGCGTTCGGAATGCGGCGACCATAGAGAAATCAGTCTGATCTCCATCGCCTCCAAATTACTCGCTTCCATAAGCCTTCACAGGCTTACTGGCGCTCGTGAAAGCCAGATCCGTGAGGAGCAAGCCGGGTTTCGTCGGGGTCGTGGCTGCATCGGCCACATCTTCGCCTTGCGCCAGTGGTTGGAGCACCGTCACACTTA